TTATGTACAACCAGCGAGAAAAAAAATGAGGTGAGAAAGTACTTTTTTTGAACTGTAATTCCACGTAAAGGTGACATATACATTATGAATGAGATCTTACACCCCAGTATTACAACAAATTCTTGGTGATTGTCCTATTTCCAATTTGGAGTAAGAACAGCAACATTTGAGTTCCAGGCCTGGTTCTGTCACCCATTACTGTTAAGTCATTTCCCTCTTTGAGACTATTTCCTCAAATATGAGGAAAAAGGAAAAAAAAAAAATTGAGGCTTACATAAGGAATCCAAACTTGAGAAAAATTATCTGATCCAATCACTCACTTTTCAGTCTCATCTCTCAATGTACTTCACTCAAGCCTAGTCAAATTGGTTTACTCAATACTTTCTCTACTCCTGTTCTGTGCCTTACACACAAAGCCATGATGACTGCAAATAAGTTGTGTGCCACTACCCTAACCCCTTCCCTATTGAAATCCACAGTTTGCCTCCCAATCCAAAAATTCTATTTTCTCTGTGAAAGCACATTACCCGTGAATTGGGAATCTGGCTGAATGCTTATAGTACTTGGCTAGGTAGCCATGTGGCTTAATCCCAAAGTCGATTATAAATGAAATGGAGTAGGAACCAGTCCTTCTAGCTTGCACAATGACAGATATAAAGATCTAGATGAAGAACACGATGGACAGAACTCAGATTTGAGAGCTGACAACACCAGCAAAATACATGCTAAATTTTTAAAAAGGGAAAACCCCCTGAAATCTCATAACACGATGATGTAAAATCAGTCAGATGTCTTGCACCCGATTTTATATTTAATGGACTTGCTATCGTCACCATAAACACACACAAGGTAAGACTAAACTTGAGAAACAGGTTCTCTCCCAACCTAACAACATTAAAGCTTGTCAGAGATACCATAGGGGCCAGGCGTTGGGCATGACCTGTAGGTAAATACCTGTAATGGGGAGGTACAAATAGGCTTAGAGTGAATTTACTTTCATAGTAAAAAGGAGGCTTATAAATTCCTACTGAGAGTTTGGGTGCTAACTTCTGACCTAACATATCAGAATTCAAGTGTTTAATAAATTAGTAGCAATTTCTCCAAATTTTGAGTTTGGCATACAGCCCCTTAATCAAGTCACTGGTGGTAGAAGCAACCTGATTTGAGAGGGCTATATGGTACAGTTTTCACATATTTCAGAAATAATTTATACTATTTTATTTTTTGTTTTTGAGTCGGAGTCTCACTCTGTCACCAAAACTGGAGTGCAGTTGCACATTCATGGCCACTGCAGGCTTGACCTAGTGGGTTTAGCTGATCCTTCCGCCTCAGTCTTCTAAGTAGCTGGAACTGCAGGCTCATGCTATCACGCCCAGCTGATTTTTTGGAGATTTATTGTAGAGATACGGTCTCACCATGTTGCCCAGGCTGGTCTCAAACCCGTGGACTCAGGCAATCCTCTCATGTGGATGTGCTGGGATTATAGGTGTGAGCCTCCCAAAGTGCTGGGGTTATAGGAGTGAGCCACTGTGCCCAGCCTATACTATTTTATTTTTGAAGGAAAGTGGAAACCTAGAGGGGGTGAATAACTGAAAATGTAGGTTTCTGGGGTTCTGTCTTTGAGACAGAGAGAGTTTTGCTATGTTGCCCACGCTGGTTTCAAACTCCTCCTGGTCCCAGGTGATCCTCCTGTCTCAGCTCCAAAGTAGCTGGGATTACAGGTTTGAGCCATTGTATCTGGCAGGTTTAAAAACACCATTTGCTGGATGCACTTTGGTAGGATGAGGTGGGAGTTTGAGGCCAGCCTAGGCAATATGGGCAGGGCTCTACAAACAAAACAAAACAAAAGCCAAAAGCAAAAAACTGGGCATGATAATGGACACTTCCAGCTTCCACTCTGGATTACTTGGGAGGCTGAGGAGGAAGGATCCCAAGAGCCTAAGAGGTTGAGGCTGTGTTGAGCTGTGACTGTGTCACTGCACTCCAGCTTTGACAAGAGTGACCAAAAAAAAAAAAAAAA